AGGTTGGTTGGGCTCTCTCCACTTGATGCTTTAGCTGAGACTGGGACTTCTGCCCTGGGACAGGGACTCACATTGTCAACATTCCTGGTTCTCAAGACTTCAGGCTTGGACTGGAATTAAACCATGGGCCTGCCAGCTCTCTGGGTTTTTTTTCAATTGAAGTATAGTCAGTTACAATGTGTTGGTTTCTGGTGTATAGCACAATATCCCCATCATGCATATACATACATACATTCGTTTTCGTATTCTTTTTCGTTAAAGGTTTTTACAAGATATTGAATATAGTTCCCTGTGCTATACAGAAGAAAGTTTAAAGAAATCTGTTTTTATACATAGTGTCTAATATCTCAAACTCCCAGATTTATCCCTTCCCACCTCCTTTCCCCCGGTAACCATAAGATTGTTTACTATGTCTGGGAATTTCTTTGTTTTGTAGTTAAGTTCATTAGAGTCCTCTTTTTTTATTTCTTTCTTTTTTTTTAGAGTCCACGTATGAGTGATATCACGTGGTATTTTTCTTTCTCTTTCTGGCTTACTTCACTTAGAATGACAATCTCCAGGTCATCCATGTTGCTGCAAATGACATTTCATTCTTTTTTATGGCTGAGTAGTATTCCATTGTATAAATATACCACAACTTCTTTATCCAGTCATCTGTCAATGGATATTTAGGTTGCTTCCATGTCATGGCTATTGTAAATAGTGCTACTATGAATATTGGGGTGCATATGTCTTTTCAAATTAGAGTTCCCTCTGGATATATGTCCAGGAGTAGGATCACTGGATCATATAGTAAGTCTGTTTTTAGTCTTTTGAGGACTCTCCGTACTGTTTTCCATAATGGCTGCATCAAACTGCATTCCCACCAACAGTGTAGGAAGGGTTCCCTTTTCTCCACACCTCTCCAGCATTTATTGTTTGTGGACTTCTGAATGATGGCCATTCTGACTGGTGTGAGGTGATAGTTCCTTATAATTTTGATTTGGATTTCTCTGATAATTAGTGATATTGAGCATTTATTCATGGGCTTGTTGGCTATTTGTATGTCTTCGCTGGAGAATTGTTTGTTTAGGTCTGCCCATTTTTGAATTGGGTTGGTTGGTTGTTATTAAATTTTATAAGCTATTTATATATTCTGGAAATTAAACCTTTGTCAGTCACATCATTTGCAATAGCTCTCTGTCTGAACTATGTCATCACCTTTCTTGGGTCTCCAGCTAGCCAAGAGCAGGTTGTGGGACTTCTCAGCTTCCATTATCCAATTCCTTATATATCTATTCCTTATATATGTAGGCTCTGTTTCTTCTCTGGAGAACCCTGACTAGTACACCTACCTTACATGACACTTAGGTGACGTATACAATGCTCTAGTTCTGTCCCTAGATCATGGGAGCCATATGGTAAATACTATTATTATTAACCGCATACATTTAAATCACAAAGACTTCTGTCAAAATAGGGTTCACTTGCCTTTCTAATTTAAATAAGTAGGTCTGTATATTCATGACCTCCATGGCTTTTTTGGTTTATCTCCTCTTTGTGAACTCCATGATTTAATTCCCTGGATTTTGAGTCTAAGCTCTGATTTGCATGCCAGCCAGACATAGATAAATGCATGTATAGAAAAGGCTTGAGTAGTCTTCAATAGATTCTAATTATTCATCTTGGTGATTTTGTTTCATGAAAAATTTCTCAAAGAATTGAACATCATCATCATTTGTCTAAATCAAGTAAACTCAGAATGTTTGGTAGGCTCTTTGCCAGGATAAATAAAACTACTCTACTGTTCCAAAAATAACAGAAAGAATAGCTTCGCCCCTATTAAGTCACCTTCCTGTTACAGATTTTTCTCTGCACGTTCAGCTTTTACATTTTACCAAACTTGTATTTCAGAAGGATCTGAGCATGTCTCATCTCCCACCCGCATCCCCCAGGGGCTTCCCACTGTCAGGTGGCTTGGTCTGACAATCCTGCCACAACCTTTCTAGCCTCATCTCGTACAGTGCCCCTCAGAGACCTTATGTTCTAGAGAAACTGAGACATACTTTATTCCATGTCCCATGATTTCCCAGTGGGAATGTTTAAATTCTACCCATGCTTGAAGGCTCAGATAAAATCACACTTCTTCCTAGAAGCTTTTTCTAATTCTTATTCACCAAATCCAGATTATCACAGCACTTTATTTTACCTGTCTTATACCATATTGTGCCTGCCTGCCTGTTTACCTGCCTGCTTGCCTGCCCTGTCCCTCCCTTCCTCCCTTCGCCACTGTACACACATGCTGTGTGTCACAAGCTGGGCTACATTCTGAGCATTCAGTAAGGAATGAAGCAGGAAAGATCACCATTCTTGTGGATGTGACAGCTTGGGGGAAGAATAGACACTCATCAACCAAAAAGTAAATTTATAATTACAAAATGAGCTGAGTGCTGCCAAGGAAAGTACAGTGGACCATGAGCTAACATAACAGTGGACTGCATTTAGAATTTGAAGCAGGGAAAGAAATTTTGATCAGGGAGGTGGAGCAGACCTAGTATAACTAACACACATGAAGGTGCTAACAAAGGACGCCAATAGACGTGATATATTCAGGTGTCCTAGCCCCCAGCCTACAGCTAAACAGTTGGGTTTTCCTAGAGAATTTACAAAAAACTGACATTATTTTGTTTGCTGCTCATCCACCGGCCCAAGAACAGAACACCTTGATGAGCCTCTCAGCGAATTATCAATTTATCAAAACCTGTTTTCGAACTGTCTGTGGCTTTCCGTTCTCCCTCTCTTCTTTCTCTTATGAATCCTGATTTTGTTTTTGCTACATGAAATAAGAGTGAATAATTACTAAGTTATTATTGGTTTCCTCTGCATAGAATTAAATGACATTTCTAGTAAGTATCTACTTGTCAGTTATTTTTCTGGCAGAACTTAACATTTACTGAGCTTTGATTAAGTACTAGGCATTGTGCTAAGAATTTTATGTATATTATTTTATTTAACTTTCACAATGAAGCTGTAAGATCAATTATTATTTGTTTATCATAAAGATGGAAACTAAATCGCAGACAGGTAAAGCAAGAGAGGACCAATATTTGAATGTTTTATTGGACTCCCAAAACCTGTGCTTTTTAAAAATGTTTTTTTAACTTTTAAAAATTATTTATTTATTTATTATTGTATTATTAGTTTATTTTGGCAAGGGGGGAGGTAATTAGGCTTATTTATTTTTAGAGGAGGTACTGGGGATTGAACCCAGAATCTCATGCATGCTAAGCATGTGCTCTACCACTTGAGCTATACCCTCCCCCCTTGAAACCTGTGCTTTTAACCACAATGCCATACCGTTCCCAACTGTACAAGTTCCCTGAAGGGAAGGAGAATATGTCATCCATAGTGAGTCCTGATGTGTGAGATGGAAAATCAGGTAGGATAAACACACCTGATACCATTATAGTTTAGAAATACAGGGCCTTATGATGATTCTCTGCAAACCTGACTCACAATTTTAAGCACCCAAATCAATCCAAGTTCAGATACCAGTTTTCCATTATAACTAAAGTAAGTCCTGCTCACAAGCAATAACTCTAATAAGATTTTTCAAGAGAACTGTTAGATGACATTGTAAATATATTTTTACTTGTTTTCTCACAGCAGTTTTACCAGATATATTTTAAAATATTTTAAAAATCTGTACAAATATCTGCCTGTCTGCCTTCTTTTTTCCTCTTTCCTTCAATCTTTCAGTCCTGTTTTTTGTTCTTTTCCTGCTTCCTTTCTTGTCCCTTCCTCCTTTCATTTTTTCTCTTCTCCATCTACTCATCTTCTTTTCTCATTTAACACATACATTACGGAGTGGCAAAGTAGTTGAAACTGCCAGAAATTCTGAGCATCCTTGCCTCCCACAAAAATGGTTCTCCATGTATTATCATTCCTATTGCTGAGTTCAGAAACTGGCATCTGAGTAGCTTAGTTGAACAGTTTAGCATCTCTTGTTGAGGGTGATGTGTAACTTTATTTGAAATGGAGTTTTGTTTTCTAAAAAAAATGCAAAGGTATGGCTTGTTCTCCACTAGAGAGAATTTCGAAAGCCTTCAGAAAGCATTCCACCACAAATGAAAAATGAGGCCAGATGATAAATGGGTGGACCTTGAAACCTTAAACACTGAGATGCTCATCTGAGCCCAGACGATGCTTCAGTAGAATAACCTGATTAACTTCCAAGGTTTGACACTTCCTGTTTCCAGTCAAGCCAGAATGTTTCTAAGGAATAGACTCTTTGCTGTCATGTTGGTGCTGGGCGTCAAAAACTGAAAATGGTACAGACTGAAAGTAATTTAAAAATTTTTGTAACATATACTTGTGGGTGTGTATTCAGATGTACGTATGCAGGGTTGAACTTAGACGTCATAGCATCATGATGGCATCATAAGCAGCCTAATAACCTGGCATCTCTTTAAAGCAATGTTCTTTAAATAACTGTCCCACCTGTGTTTACTAGTATTAGAGAGCATCTGATTTCCTACTCATAAAATCTCTTCCTGTCTTTACATTTGGAATAAGAAATTTATTAACGTGCATTGGATAAATTATTTTAAAACCTTTTGTAACTATTTCCTTCCAAGGTTTTTAGCCATTCATGCTTTAATAATGATTCTTAGTTGTGTTCAATAAGGAAAGAAGTAACTTACATGAATATGGCTACAGGTTTGCTCAATATACTAAGTTTAAAAGTATTTTTTTTGTGTGGTTTCATGTTGGCTAAACATTTCTAATTTTACTTTAATTTTAGTTTTTTATCTAGTTTTCCACTGTTTAAACTAGAAATGTTCTTGGAGTACACTTAAATTTTAATTTTTTAATTTAAGTATAGTTAGTTTATAGTGTGTCAATTTCTGGTGTAAAAAATTTTAAATTTAGATAAAGAAATAACATTTCAGTACAGTATGCTCTATATCATATTTTTTTCTGTATTTCAGATTTTTCTTTGATTTTTGTTTGACTTTCAGCTGACTTGCTCTCTGGGCTGGTGGCTTGGCTCCGTGTGCATGGAATTGGAGATTTCTACACCTGTAAATTTACAGCCAGCAACGACTACCTTCTTCAGATCTGTGAGTTTTTCTGTGAATTTTAATTCATTTGAGCTGGTTTTGCTGAGAGCTGAGAGAAATTTTCACATTTTTTCCCCCTCACATGGCAAAGAGGTTTTTAGGCCTGTGGATTTATAGAAAGAAAGTTAAAGCCTGCAGGATCTACAGAGATGGTCTGATCAGACTCTTTTGTGTTTCAGAAAAAAAAAAAAGACAATCAAGCTGAGACAGGTGGAGTGAGACTTCCCCAACCTCCTGAAAGAAGTCCCCTGTTCTCAGTGTAGGAGGTTGGTGGTTGTGCTGGGGTCCTCGTGGGTTTCTCTCATTTTCATGCTTCTGTGGCATGAAAGGAGTTTTTGAAGCATCAGGACCGGTCTGAATGTCTCTGTACTTTGTCTTAATTCTGATGGAAGACACACCTTGCAGTCTCGGAGTGGGATGTGGGAGGAGATAGAAATTAGACAGAGTTACCAAGAATTAGTTAAATGTAGTTGTAAAAATGAAGGCGACGTTGAGTACCGTGAGTGTGTATATAAGAAAAGAGGGATTCCCCCTGGTCGAGTGGGTTGGGGAAAGCCTCCAAGAGGAAAGCACATTTAAGCCAAAGCCCAAAGGATGATTAGAAATTGTCCAACCAAGGGAGACAATTTCATTAATACCATGATCATGAGAAGTATCCATTTGTGCTTAGAACACAGGGTTTGAGATCTTGGGCTCTGAGGCTGACCGCCTGAGTGAAATCTTCACTTTTAGCAAGTTGTCTCTGTCTGTGGGCAAGACGCTGAGGTTGTCTGTTCCTCACCAGTCTTGTCTGTAAAATTAGCATAATAACACTGTTGGGGGTAATAAACTGTTATACTCTCTTGAAAATCAAGATGAGGCTTGAATGAAATAATGCATTAAAGTATTTTAATACAGTGCCCAACGCTCAATATGACAACAAACGCTGGCTGTTATTTAGTGAGAACTTTGCAGATTATGAAACACATGAGCATAGTACGTCATTTGATCACCAATGCTTCCCTCTAGTACTCAGTCCTCAGGGCATAGTACCTCTGCTAATGGTTCTAGGATTCTTTTTGGAGAAAATAACTTAAGCGCTGTAGACCCCTGGTAGGGGCCAGGAATGTCCCAGAGGGAGGACAGAGGTAAAGCCTGGATCTCAGGGTCCAGAAAAAAAAGTCGAGAATCCCCCTCTGTAGACTGGATGTTTGTCAATACTTAAAATGCAAGGGGTATCTCAGAAAGAAAGGAAACACACCTTAAGGGACTAGGTTACATTAAGGATTTTGACAACATGACATTTATGGTTTAAATGCCCCTCAGGAATCATGGCCTCAAACTGTTCAGTAATGATGTAAGATGGGTGAACAAACAATTTAAGTGTTACTCTAAAATAATCTCAGCAGGAGCACAGTGTTGTAAACAGTCATCTCTGCATCTCTGTTCTGTGAAGTAGCTGTTCATTGTCGTCCATTTATTCCTTTACAGCCAAGAGTCTTTGAATAAGTTGCGTAGCATCTTCTAATGATTTTTGAAAGATTTTTGAAGGAAATCCAACATAAGATGGTATGGGCTATTACTGTAAAGGATTTGATCTCTACTGTAAAGAGCATCGTTTCTACTGCACACATTTAACCTCTTTATATCTGGAGTTGTGGCTCGTCCAAGGGAAGGAATGGTGACATTCATGGTCTCAATTCTGCAGCATCTAATATTATTGGTAGATTATTTTACTGTTTATAAAATATATGACCCATTTTATCACATTGGATTCTTAAAACAGCCTTGCCCAATTTTTACTTGGTGAAACTGAGACCCAGAGATGTTAGGCAAATTAAGATAGTTGGTTAGTGACAGAGCCTGGACTGGAACCCAAATTTTGGGTCTCCTGTAGAGTGCTCTTGTCACTAAACTGATTTTTGCCTTGTTCCCAAAATGTGTGTATCAAGACAAAAGTGAGCATTTTAGAGTTGTAAGATTAGTAGACCACAGAAGACTGTCTTTCACAAGTGTGTCATAGAGGACGCCAGTCAAGGTAGATTGAGTCCCAAGGAAGTATTAGGACTTCAGAGGCCACTGCCGAGTAAGCAAGACATGGTTGCAGCAGCCGTTGTGTGACCAGCTGATGCGCCGGGAGGGAGCTCTTGGGGGACCAGAGTTAGACTTAGCCGCCTGGCTCTGCTGCATCTTCCACACCAGGGAAGTCCCCAGAGGCCAGGAGGCAAATGTCCTCCTAAGGTCTTTGGGGGTTTCCTTCCCTATTTGAGAAAGGCAACTTCCAACCATTTCCCACTTAAGGCAGCCACCGACAAGTTGCTAATGATTCCCTTAGGGTCCCTCACTTCAGGCACTTTAAGAATTGTTTCACTAGAATTTGAATCAGGGCACTTTTAAAAAAGAAAATCCAGCCTGCTTTTTACCACCCTCCTTTGAGATTAAGTTAAGGAAACTAAAGCCATTATCTGCTTGTGGCTTTGCTGAATCAATGACTTTTACTCACTATAAACCCACAGGAAGTAGTTCTTTTTCATGAAAAGATAGCATAGGCATTTTTTTAGCCTCAACTTTTGAAGAATACACCGAAGGCACTATGATGCTGATAATTAGAGCTGACATCAAGGCAGTGTAAGTACACGAGTCGTGGTGGAGCTTTTCCTTTTCTGACACATTAAGAGATAGGTGCAGAATCTGTTAAAAATGAAATAAAAAAAAAGAGTGAAGTTAAGAAGGGATTAGTAACATCAGGCAGTCACAAGAATGCTGTGTTTTTCTTTGAATGTTGCTGTAAATTGTATCTTCCCTTCAATTGTTTCAAACACCTTTTGTTCAAAGTATATACAAATTAAATAATCTTGCTTTTTTGGGGCAAACATAGTGGACTGCACCTGTGGCTTAGACTCAGCAGTCACAACCAGGCAAAGCTATCATATTTTCTTAAATCTAAGACTCCATTGATACTGCGATGCAGCATAGTATGTTAATGTAACACAAGGAGAGAAAAAAATGCAAACACTTGGCCACATCAGCTCTTCTAACTTTGACTTGTGTCTTGTCTTCTTGATGGTGTTGGTAATTTCTCCTGCCTTTATTTTATTTCTTGGCAGTTGAGAGAGACATGTCTTTTGCTCACGTAACAATAACAAAATAACACAGCTTTACCTCCATCGTGTTGTAGCCTCATCTAAAAAACGTATTCTTTGCCTTGCAAGAAAATGGGGAGTTTTGATCATGACTTTGACAATAAGTATTTGCTTCACAAATAATAGCATGCAATTTATATGCAGTGGCTCATTTCAACAAAATGACTGTTTCAGCAGTGAACAACAGTATTGTCTTTTTGAAGACTGACAAATTAGGCCATTGGATCTGTCTTCACTGCCACTGGCCCACAATGATGATAAGACACATCCCAAATTTGGAAAAATTAAAATGTGAAAAAAATACACATAGAATCGATGAACTATGAGAGTTAATCAGCCTAAACAGCCAAGAGATGAGAAGACCATTCAGCTACAGGAATTTCAGTTCCAGTGACAAAGAATTGAAACAGTAAGCTAGTAAACAAGAAGGCCTTAACGTTCCTCTCAGCTGAATTAAACTTTGGACAGGCTTCTTCATGACTGTAGGCTCCAGTCTCTTTTTCCATAGTGCATGTGCTGTGGAAAAGTTGCAGTTACAAACTCTGTCTGCCCCTTTGAGATGCAAATTTTCTGCAACTCAGAAATGTCTTCTCAAGGTCCATCCTTTTGAAATGCAGTCGTTGAAGGAGTCTCTCTCTGTCTCTGGGAGGGTAGGAGACTAAATTCTGTAGGTGCCAGTTAGCAAACATAGATGGCCTAACCACACTGACTAACCTCCCTGTGAAGTCCTCTGGTATATTTTCATCACTTCACCCCAGTTCTTAAAAATCACCTACCTGCCTTTTGTCTCAGCAGAGTTGAGTTTCTTCTGACTCCTCTACTGCAAATAGTCTTCATTAAAGTCTGCCTTGCCTGTTTAGCTAGTCCAGTGCAGTTTTTCTTTTACCCTAGTAATCTGGTTCTAAAGAAACGGTCACCATTAAAATAATCCCTAGAAAGTCACAATTCCAAGTAGAACCTACCTTTTACGTGCACATTCTTTGTTCTCCCACGTAGTTTGTATAGCTTGCACGTTTTGTGAGAGTAAAATCCCTGCAATATATTTTCCCCTGTAGTAGTCCCCTGTTGTAAATGATGAGATGCAAGTGTGTTGAGAATTATAATTCATATAACTGTTCATTTTTATTGCTTTTAACAATATGAGTTTAGGAGTAAAAGGAAATTTTCTCTAATCCAAAGATCTGATTTTTCAGGCTAATATTCTGTGACCCAGAAATACTGCTTTTCTCAGGATTCCATAGCTAGTTAATGGTCAGTCAAGGACAACCCAGTGTTGTTTCCACTAGACCAAGGATACCCCACATTGAGTTGTGCATTGGACACCTTGGGAGTTTGAAAAAATGCTGTTGTATTTTTTTAAAAAATCATGATCAGTTGATTCAGAATCTCTGGTATTGGGCCTTGGCATTTGTGGTTTGTAAAAAGCTCACTAGGTTTATTTTTAAACTCATCTAAAATGTAGCCAGGTCTGAGAACCACCAGAAGAATATGCTTTCTCCCTCTATAGTGAGAAACATCTGTTAGTTTATGACCTGCACAGAGAAGTAGGCAGCTAAATTTTAAATGCTTTTTAGTATTCGTGCACTCAGAAATTCTCACTGTTAAAGCACTTGGTGTTTCTTAGTTATTTCTTCTATTGCTTTCTTGCCCTAGAAGTGTGTAAAAGTTGCACGTGGTCCTGGTTATGGTAGCTCAGTGAACCTGGGAAGGTGGCCTTTGTGCCAAAGCAAATAGTCCTTGGTGTATCTTTGAAGCTGGCCTATGTGAAGATGGGGCTGTTGGGTACAGAGGGAAAGAGTTTTCGATGAATATTTCTATAATGTTAGAAATCTGCTAGACTGCTGGCTCACAAATCAGTACAGGTGGTAGGATTTTTTT